CTAGCACGCATTTCCTTGTCATTGGAAACCGGTTTGTTAAGCTTGTTATACCAGTCACTAGTTCGTGAGCGTTGCTGTAAAGTCGTGGTATGTGCGCTGGAAGTCACGTGGAGTGGTTGCGGTGTCCCGTGAATCTTATGTCCGAGGTAATTATATCGCAAGAAGTGCTTATCAGGCACTAGCTTAAAATAGATCGGCTGTTAAAACAAGCATTTGCATGGTTGTGGTCGTAAAAGAATTCTGTTGCGTTCTCTTAGTTCCAAAATGTAAGCTTTTGATGATGTCATGGTAGACGAAGTTGACGAACTTAAAAGTTTTACGCGATAAAAGCCACTTCAGCGGTTCACGAGTTATGAGATTACGCAGCTAAAATATCTCCTTCCATTAATTTCATGAAAATCGGAAGACTTTCGGGAAGATTTGTCACGTATGAAATGTGTTCTAATTTTTTCTCCGCAACTTTTCGTTCCGATAAATAGTTCGCTTGTTAGGTTTTTGTTGTGCTTAGAAAGACGAGAAGGTGCCCATTATTGTTCAATGTTGACCAAAATTTTAGTACAAATTCATACGATATATTAATGTGTTAAGTTATAAAATATTTAATGAAGTGTTAATCATTTAATGTGTTAAAGCATTTTGTGTAGATATTGTTGGTACAACTGGCAATAACAGTTATTTGTTTATGTTTTCAGGCAAGCGCTACTTGAGCAGAGCCATCTGTGCAGTACATATGGTATACCATGGAGGACCTAGAAAAGAATAGGTCTATAGGGCCACTGGAAAGGAAAAGAGTGACATTGGGTCGAGCCGTCAGCATGAACGTCGAAAGGGTGCCACTCACAGCTCTGCCAAAATATAGTACGGTTTCACCCAAACTTCTGGGTCGATGGAGGAGTTCCAAGGCAGGCACAAGTCTGCAGGAAGACGAGTATCATGTGAAGCGAGGGGAGTCTCCCCCAGCAGATGATATAGTACACTTTGATAGCTTCGAGGATGTAAGAAGTGAAGCGTTTAATGTGACAGTATGCAGGAGCAATGTAAGGCAAGGACTGTTGGACCTCATGAGATCTAATGCAAGTACCGCTCATTACCTGGAAGATATCGAAGCTGGGAAACTCTCTGTCGGGGATGTTCAGCCGTTGATTAATAGGAGTAGCAGAATGGAAAGAAATATTACATTCTTATGGGCAGCTTTTCTTAAGCGACTTGACTTCCTCCAGCTCCTGTTTCCTCTGGGAGTTGACATAAATTTCAGCGAACCTGTCGAAGGATTTACAGCGCTTCATCTTAGTGCGTTCAATGGTTCTGTTGAATGTTCAAAATTTCTTATTTTAAAAGGCGCTAATATTAATTTGGCTCCGAGATGGTTTACTCCACTTCACAGTGCGGCGTTCGGAAATTCCTTTGAAGTTGTAAAATTACTGTTGGACAACGGTGCCAAACTGGAGGTTACTGGGGCGACGAAGAGCAATGATGATTTTATTTACGGGTATCCCTTGCATTCTGCGGTGAAAGCAAATGCTGTCGAATGTATCTTGCTACTGATAGCAAGATGTTCCAATATAAACTCTCTTGAACCTGGAGGAGTCTCGCCACTGCATTCAGCTGCCGAGTTGGGACACATACAACCACTGAAGGTTCTTCTCGATTATGGAGTTGATCCTAATTTGGTAACTCGTGACAAGAAGAATACGGCATTACATCTTGCTGCTGAGGGGGGCTTCAGCGAATGTGCCTCTTTGCTGTTGTCCAAAGGTGCGAATGCAGATGCTAGAAACTGCAAGGGGCAGACGGCGTTGCACCTAGCTGCTCGTGCTCAGTCGGTGCAGTGCGTTGAAATATTACTGAATACTGGAGCATGCGATTCTAGTGCCGTGGATATCGATATGAGGTCACCGCTTCATTCAGCTGTTGGAAAATCTCTGCTGGCGTTTGAAATTACAGAGATTTTGTTAATGTGGAAAGCTGAAGTGAATCAGAAGGACAAATATGGCTATACGCCACTACATATCGCTGCGTTGAATGAACAGTCTCGGTGCGTGGAGACACTGCTGTACCATGGTGCAGATGTGAGTGCAAAAACTAAAGGTGGCATTTCAGCGCTGAGCATTATTGTCCGCAAAACTCCAGCATCATTAGCGATGCTGTACCAGAAATTAGACTCTGCAATAACATTATGTGATACAGAGGCATCTAATAGAGAGGTAGAATTGAAGCTGGATTTTCGATTTCTGCTGCAGAATTGTGACATGGGAGAAATTAGTTTTTTGAAGACTTTTGTGGATGCAGGTCAGAA